CTGGGGGTCTGGGGAATGGGAGGGCATCTGTTGGGGGTCTGGAGAATGGGGGGCATCTGCTGGGGGTCTGGAGAATGGGAGGGCATCTGTTGGGGGTCTGGAGAATGGGAGGGCATCTGTTGGGGGTCTGGAGAATGGGAGGCATCTGTTGGGGGTCTGGAGAATGGGAGGGCATCTGCTGGGGGTCTGGAGAATGGGAGGGCATCTGTTGGGGGGTGATCTGGGGAATAAGAGGGGATGTGTTAGGGGGTCTGATCAAATGGGAGGGGATGTCTTCAGGGGTCTGGGGAATTGGAGGGTATCTGTTGGGGGGTCAGGGGAATGGGAGAGGATTGGTAGGGCACCTGGGGAATGGGAGAGAATGTGTTGGGGAGTCTGGGGAATGGGGAGGAATGTGTTAGGGGCCTGGGGAATTGGAGGGTATTGGTGGGGGGTCTGGGGAATTGGAGGGGATTAGTGGGGGTCTGGGGAATTGGAGGGGATTAGTGGGGGTCTGGGGAATTGGAGGGTATTGGTGGGGGGTCTGGGGAATTGGAGGGTATTGGTGGGGGGCCTAGGGAATTGGAGGGATGTGTTGGGGGTCTGGAGGAAGTGGGAAGTTGAGATGGGCATGATTAAGATATATTGTATCCATGTATAAAATGTCAAAGAAAAAAGAAAAAGATCCTAAAAAAGAGAAAGAGTCCAAAGCCAACCTGGGATACATAGTGAGAACCTGTCTCCAAACAAAATCATGAAAAGTGTGTGGAAGACAGTGCACATCCTATGTCAACATTACATCATTTACACGGGGACCTGGGTATCTGTGCAGCTGGCATTTGCAGGGGAGGAGGTGGAACTCTGAAGGACGGCTGTGCCACCCCACATAATGCTGGAGATGAGGAAGTTCAGAGAGTGTTGGAAAACGGCCCCAGGGCTGGACATGCTACTCTAGTCTCACAGTTTATGCTTGACTTCTTCATAATTAAACAAACAAGTGACATACACCTTGACATATCTGCTTCTCTTCCTGTTTTTTTCTTTTCTTCTCAATTTAAATCATACAATGCTTCCCTTTTAAAGATGGTTATCAGCCATCTCTAAACTCACTTCAAGAGCATGTACTTCACTTCTGGTGGAGCTAGCTGGAGACCGGCCCTCCGGTCTCTTCCACTTACAGGAGGGTGTGGTGCGGTGATATATTGCTTGTAATCTAAGAAATAAAGCTCGCCTGAAGATCAGAGGACAGAGCTAGCCACAGAGCTAGCCATAGAGGTCAGGCAGTGGAGGCACACGCCTTTAATCCCAACACAGGGAGA